AGGGGAACCCTCAGTGCCCCTGAAGTCGGGCGATAAGAGCTCGGAGCCCAACTTTCGAAGGAGATAAAAGGGTGTCAGGGAGGCACAGAGGATGCTGAGCACAGATAATGAGGAACTCAGAGGGGCTGGGGCAGAATTACCCACCCAGAAACACCAGCACACGCCCAGAGAGGAGCTGAGGGAAAGGAAAATCCGAATTTTGGGGGCTCTCAGGGAACAGAGCTCCAGAGAAACCTTGAAATGATTCAGGGAAACCTTGAAATGGTTCAGAGAAACCTTGAAATTATTCAGAGAAACCCTGAAGTGATTCAGGGAAACCTTGAAATAATTCAGAGAAACCTTGAAATGGTTCAGAGAAACCTTGAAATTATTCAGGGAAACCTTGAAATGATTCAGAGAAAGCTTCAAATGATTCAGGGAAACCTTGAAATAATTCAGAGAAACCCTGAAGTGATTCAGGGAAACCTTGAAATAATTCAGAGAAGGCTTCAAATAATTCAGAGAAACCTTCAAATAATTCAGGGAAACCTTGAAATTATTCATAGAAAGCTTCAAATAATTCAGAGAAATCTTCAAATAATTCAGAGAAACCTGCAAATGATTCAGAGAAACCTTCAAATAATTCAGAGAAACCTTCAAATGATTCAGGGAAACCTAGAAATTATTCAGAGAAACCTTGAAATTATTCAAGGAAACCTTGAAATTATTCATAGAAAGCTTCAAATGATTCAGAAAAACCTTCAAATGATTCAAGGAAACCTTGAAATAATTCAGGGAAACCTTGAAATAATTCAGAGAAACCTTCAAATGATCCAGAGAAACCTTCAAATAGGGAAACCTTCAAATGATTCAGAGAAACCTTGAAATAATTCAGGGAAACCTTGAAATAATTCAGAGAAACCTTCAAATGATCCAGAGAAACCTTCAAATAATTCAGAGAAAGCTTCAAATGATTCAGGGAAACCTTGAAATTATTCAGAGAAACCTTCAAATAATTCAGAGAAACCTTGAAAAGATTCAGAGAAAGCTTCAAATGATTCAGAGAAACCTTAAAATGGTTCAGGGAAACCTTGAAATTATTCAGAGAAACCCTGAAATAATTCAGAGAAACCATGAAATAATTCAGAGAAACCTTGAAATAATTCAGAGAAACCTTCAAATGATCCAGAGAAATCTGCAAATGATTCAGGGAAACCTTGAAATGATTCAGAGAAAGCTTGAAGTGATTCAGAGAAACCTTGAAATTATTCAGAGAAACCCTGAAGTGCTTCAGGGAAACCTTCAAATAATTCAGAGAAACCTTGAAATAATTCAGAGAAACCTTCAAATGATTCAGAGAAACCTGCAAATGATTCAGGGAAAACTTGAAATAATTCAGAGAAACCTTCAAATGATTCAGAGAAACCCTGAAGTGATTCAGGGAAACCTTGAAATAATTCAGAGAAACCTTGAAATGATTCTCCAGGGCCACGAAAGGAGCTCCAGGTTGGGATGGCTGGAAATGTGTTGGAATGCAAACATCCCTGGGCTCCTCACACAGAGAAATGGGTGCAGGGGCTGAATTAAAGCCTTTAGAGGAATTCAGATTATTAAACCAC